AAAGAGATGATTATCAGTGTCAGGTGCTTCAGAGGTCAAGTAGAATGAGAATTAGGAAGAAGTCACTGTGTAAACAATTAGGAGGTCACTTGCTTCCTTTGTGGCTATGATGGATTGAAGAATAAATGGAAGACAGTGAGTAATGATTACTCTTTGAGTTGTGAAGGAGAGCTGGTAGGAGAGAAACTCATCTTTATTGAAAATATGAGATGTCGGGACCAGCAGTTAGCGTAATGGCTATGTTGCTGGACTCCCATGTAGTCGACTGCAGTTCGCATCCCGAACCCGGTGGCTTAAAACTCATGCTGGGCGTGTGTGCGTGCGTGCCCAAGATCCGGAGAGGAGAATGGAGGAGAAGGGATTGTGGCGTGGCCATCCCCCCTGGGGGGGTGATTTCTTGTTTTCTGTCTCTCTTTCTATGTCTATCTGGCGAGCGCACGCACTCTATGGCAAAAACCTCTCAAAAAAAAAAAAAAAAAAAGAAGAAAATATGAGATGTCAGGGACCATGAAGATGCTTTATTGATCACAACAGATTTGTGGTTTGGGTAGGGAGACTGTAGCCAAGGATTAGAACAAGGTCTATCTAGTTCTAAAACTTTACTGGCACATTTGTGCTTTTCTTTTTAGTAATGGTGAAACAGTTTTATAGGTTGAGGAGAAGGTTTACTTAGGTGTTGGATGTTTCATTCTTTGACACTGAAAAGATAGAGGTCAAGCTGGATAATAGAAGAGAAAGAAGGCAAGAGTTTGATGGTCTTATTTCTCCCTTTTTCTAGGGTGGGAGAGCAGAGGGTATGCGAGGGAGGGAGAGAGAGAGAGAGAGAGAGAGAGAGGTCTCCCCCACGGGACTTGGTCACTCTCAACCCTTATTTTCTCCATTTCTCTATCCTGTCAGAATCTTGGACGTAGTACACATGCCCAGTGTGTTTTTCTTTTTCCTTTTAAAAAATTTAAATAATTATTTATTTAATTGTGTTTATTCATTCTATTTATTTATTTATTTTTAATTTAACCAGAGAGAGGGAAAGTGAGAAAGCAAGCCACCAGGTCCAGGACTTGAAGTGTGGTTGGCCATGTGGGAATGTCCAGTACCTTAACCACCATGCTGCCTGCTGGTCCCGCCCAGTGTGTTTTTCAAACCTATGATCTGGATTTGAACCATGGAGCCTTATGGCATCTGGTTTTCTTAACTGCTGAGCTATAGGGATGAATCACCTTAGTTTCTTGATGTAAACAGTTATCTGTGGAGAAGTCAGTTATCTCTGAAGACTGAATGAACTATGTAGAATTTCTGACCTACGTATTATGACCATGAAAATCTTCAATGGAAAATGAAAGAGATGAATAGATTAAGGATTAAAAAAAAAAAAAAAGGCCAGCAGGTGGCATTCAGACTTCCAATTCCATGTGGCTTTTTGCATGGTTCAAGTCCCAGACCCAGCAGCCTGAAAATGATGCCAGTAGGTGGGTACATGCCCAAAATCCTGAGAGGAGAACGGAGAAGAGACTGTGGCATGGCCATTCCCTCAAGGGGAGTGATTTCTCTCTCTGGTGAGCACATTTACCTTATAACAGAAACTAAAAACCAACCAACCAACCAGCAAACCAAATAAATAAATGAAAGGCCTTACAATAGGGTGTTATAAGAGCTGGATCCCACTTGGCTAACCACGGTTTGTGTCCTGCCCCTGTGGCTTGGAGAACATACCAGGCATGTATGTGTTCATGACCAAAATCCTGATAGGAGAGATGAATGGAAGAAAAAGGATTGTGGTGTGACCATGCTTTATGGGGGGGGGTGCTTTCTCTTCCTCTCTCTAGCAAGTACATGTACCTACTTGCCCCCCCCCCCAAAAAAAAGGGAGGGGGAGTGGGTCCAGCAGGTGGCATGGTGGTTAAGGTGCTGAACTTTCACATGGCTGACTATGGTTTGAGTCCTGGACCCAACAGCTTGAAAAATCTTTTTTTTCTAAGTGGTTTTTTTTTTTTTTTTTTAATTTGGATTTTTATTTATTTATTCATGTGTTTATTTCAGTTTGACCAGAGAGGGACAGAGAGGGAGAGAGAGAGAGAGACAGAGCAAGCTGCCCGGTCCAGGACTTGAACCACGGTCAGCCATGTGCGAATCCAGCACCCTTAACCACCACACCACTCACTGGCTCCCAGCTTGAAAAATCTTGCTGGATATGTGTGTGTGCGTGCTCAAAAATCCCTAGAGGAGCATGATGGAGAAGGGATTGTGATGTGTCCACTCCCTGGTGGATGATTTCTCTTTTTCCTTCTCTCTTTCTTTCTCTAGCAAGTGTATGTACCCTATGGCAAAACCCGAATGGGAAAAAAAAAAAAAAAAAAAAAAAAAAAAAAAAAAAAAAAAAAAAAAAGGAAGGGCAGAGCCCCTGTAGCATAGTGGTTCTGTGTTGTGCAGAGGGACCACATTGCCAACCAGGATTTGAGTCCTGCCCCATTGGCTTGAGAAAGTCATGGCTAAGATCCTGATAGGATAGTGATATAGGGAAAACAACTATGGTGTGACCAGGCCCCATCATTGAGGTACTTTCTTTCCCTTTCTTGGTCTGTCTCTTTGTCTCTCTGTCTCTCTTTCATGAACGGGGGAAAAAAAGGTTGCTAACCGTATTGGAGGCTCGGTTAGTTAGAAATATATTTGTTATGGGTTCTAGTAGCATGAATTTTATACATTTACCAATAGCTTAGGAATAGGAGTGGAAAAAGATATATGGTTATGTTGATCCAGAATTGAAATTTGCAGAAGAGAAAGATAAATGGGAACAACTTTACATGCTAGTGATAATGTGGAGATATGATTGACTCTGAAGATCCAAGTGGGGTTTTCTAAGTAAACCTGCAGGGAGGCTTATGTACTTATATACTGAATAGCAGACAATAAAAAATGTGGTCAAAGATCAAATTTTGTAGAAGTACATAATTTGTCAGCCCTTAATCACCACACCAACTGCTGGTCCCCTTATATTCTTAATGTCACATGCTACATTTTGTTATGTAAAATGAATCTTGGGTTGGACTTTGAAAACTATGATAGTGACTTTTATAGGAATTTCACCTAGGTCAAGCCCAATTATTACATTGTATTATGTGGGTATGTTATTGACCAGCAATGGGTATTATACTGTTTTCCAAGTCATCATATAGAGATAACTTCAGTGTGGTTTCTCTAGTATTATTTTCGCTGAACACTCAGAAAGATGGTTGTTTCAGAGAAAAGCCAATGTGTGATCATTAAAAAATCTTCCAAATTCCTGAACGCTTCAGAATGACAGTATGATAAAAATAAAAAACACTAGAAGTCCTAATTTTAATTTTAATTTAGAGATTTTTGGTATAGGGCGCATGTACTCACCAGAGAGACAAAGAGACAGAAAGTGAGAAATCACCCCTCAGGGGAGATAGCCATTGCCATAATCCCTTCTTCATTCTCCTTGGATTTGGGGCATAAATGCACATGCGCCCAGCATAAGTTTTTTTTTTTTTTTAAAGACTTATTTATTTATTCGTTCATTTTAAATTTTAAAATAATTATTTATTTTATTTATTATTATTTTTAATTTGACCAGAGAGATACAGTGAAGGGGGGGGAATGTGAGAAAGCAAGTCACCCAGGTCCAGGACTCAAACCATGGTGAACCATGTGGGAGTCTAGCACCTTCACCACCATGCCACCTGCTGGCCCCTCATTCATTTTAATTTGAACAGAGAGAGAGAGACAGAGAGAAAGGAAAGTGAGAAAGCCAGCTACCAGGTCCAGGACTTGAACCGTGGTCAGCCATGTGGGAGTGTCCAGGCAGCTTAACCACCACGCCACCTGCTGGCCCTCCTAATTTTTTTTTTTTAAGATAATTTTTTTTTGTTTTAGGGCATGTGTGTGCTTGCCAGAGAAACAGAAAGCAAGAAGTCACTCCTCCCTCCCCCAGGTGTCATGCCATGCCTCAATCCCTTCTCCAGTCTCCTCTCAGGATTTTGGGCATGTGTACACACATGTGCCCGGTGTGAGTTTCAAGCCTCTGGGTCTGGGACTTGAACTGTGGTCTGTCAAGTGAGAATCCAGCGACATAACCATTATGCCATCTGTTTGTCCCCTGGAAGTTCTAATTTTAATCACCCTGTTAATGTGATTTTAGGCCAATTATTTATTAGAGAATAAAAAGAGGTGAGCTTTTACTTTGTTTTCTTAAAAGATCTAATAATTGAATAGACAATATGTTTAAGTGGTTAGTTAAATACACAAATATATTTACATATAAATATTTACATGTTTATTATATAACTAGTAAAAATCTCACTTCTGTGCCTGTCCTTTAGCCACTCAATTCCATATCCCCCCTGGGCAACACTTTTTTTAAAGATTTTTTTTTTAAGAATTGTTTAATTTAATTTTGCTTACTTATTATTATTGTTTAATTTGACCAGAGACAGAGAGAAAGTGAGAAAGCAAGCTGCAA